TTGAGCAATGCCTGTGACTCTGCGGGGGCAGTCTGGTGGATGCTCAAGAAGAAAGCGGAGAGGAGGGCGATGGGTGATGTCGAACCTCCACCAACCGCATCCAGCCTTGAAACTCCGCGGCCGAGGGAATTACAGAGTCCAAAGAAACGTCCCAAGAATATTGGCGTCCAAACCGATTCTGACGTCCACTTACCCTTGGCGAGATCCGCCCCACAACTTGCATTCCTTCCCGCCACACCAACAACGATCAGACCTGTCACACCTACTCGACAGATCTCACCTACCCGCTCTCCCATGCTTTCGCCATCTTCTTCGACGATCACTGGAGATCTTTCTCTGCGTTCGCATCCGTCGACTCCCGCTGGAAGTCTCCGAGATAAGGAAAAAGACAAGAAAAAACCTCGGTCTGGGAGTGTCAGCCTCGTGCAACGAGCCACCACGGCAATTGAGGCGGCTCTTGTTCGCAAGAAGTCTGCAGAAGTTGTCAAAGACAAAGAGGAGAAGGAACGCGATAAATCAAAGGATGAACCTCGGAGTTCTCACGGCAGTGGTGGATCCTCGAAACTCGCCAAATCACCACCTCTCAAGGCTTCCAAGGACAAGGATCACCCACCTGTTCCTGTCACACCACCACCGAGTGAACATCATCACAATACTGCACATATGGGTTCACCCTGGGTTCTAGCCGAATCTAAAGAATCGCTACACCCTAATGTGGTCACTCCGTTGACGGTCGGTGGACAGATTCAGTCTCAGTCAGCACCCAACATATCTGAGACGGCGCGAGAGAAATCGACGGGGGCCTTACGACCCCGTTCCAACTTTTTAACGGCATTCCGGCTCTGGTTTCATGAAGATAGGAAGGGGAAACGGAAGGATCCATCGGCAGCAGCATCCCAAAATAATGGAGGGAACTACGGCCGCCCCCTGAACCAGTCCCTAATGGATAGTACGGCAAAACGACGGGGAAGTAACTCGAGCGGTAGATTCGGGGCTCCTCGTGCGGGTGCCTCTCGTGTGCAGCGTCCGTCCATGTCTTCTAGGAGATCCAGCAGCGTTAATTCGAGGAGATCGTCAGGTACCTCCATGCAGATGATTCCTATTGATTCGCCTCAGCAAGTCACTTCCCGCCGTTCATTCGGGAGCCACACGCCGAATTCAGAGCGGGGCGACTATTCGTCACGCCCATCTTCCATTCATAGCTTTTCTATGCAACCTAGGCACCGCAAATCACCTTCTGTTAGTTCTGCGAGCTCGGCACATTTCCGGACGGCATCTCCAATGCAGAAGTATCATCGACGTGCAGGGTCAGGGTCATCTACACGGGTCGTTAGACAAATGCAGCCTGGTCGGACCATCCACGGACGTTCAAACTCTACTACATCTTCTATTCATTCACCACCATCTTCCCGACCAACATCGTGGTACGAGCCTTTCGAAGGTGATTTTACGAGAACGGGATCGCCCTTGAGGACCAGGAAGCGTTCAGGAGATAGACTCGCCAGCGGAAGTACTATGTTCGTGCAGAAGCGTCAAGGACCCTTTATGAGCCCTATCCCATATATCAACTCTGTTGGTCGGTCGAGTTGGAAGAAGTCATGGGGTCTCGAACCTCCTGGTTGGCAAACGCGGACTGCCCATCTCCCTATTGAAGTTTTAGCGATATCTCCCGCCAGTGAGCCGACGACAATTCGTGATGTATTCTCAGGTCGCCAATCACTTAGTCTGGGAGACGAGAGCGACTGGGTAGACGAAGAAGATGATGTTCCTGCATTTGCAGGTGGTTTGGGTCAAATGGGAACATCGGCCTCGACTTCCTCATCCTTAGGCTATAACACTACTGAGCCTACGCCAGTTCTGTCCCCGGCTCCCAGAGGAAATCGCAGGAGCGCCAAACGCACTAAGACCACCCCAGGTAATTCTACCACGGCAGGGCCTTCCGCATCAGCCGGTGGAAGAGCAAAGAGCACATCTCCGGTATCGCAGGAAACAGCCACGGAGGCGAGAACCAGTAGGAGGCAGCTTCCCGCTACGCGATCAGGTCCCGCCTTCAGACAGGCGATCCAAGAGGAAGACGAGGATGAAGAGGAGTAAATGTTTGATTATGTGTTATGCTTTTCTTTGCACTCTGTTCTCCTGTGGACATTACTTTGATCATCAACTCTAGCGTTCGTTTTCGTACTCTTGACTAGCTATCATTTCTTTTAGTACACAATCAGTTTGCGCGCAGTTATAAGTAGATTTCCATATAATAGTCGTGTATTAGTATTTTTTTTTGATATACCCCTGGACTGGACAATAATGTTTGCAATGATGTTGTGAGATCTGATGTGACAACCGTGGTTGCAGTCACGCACTGCCATATGTGACGTGCGCACGGTGGACGAGTTGCACCTGTGCCTCCCTCCTTCACCACAACCAACTCATCCCTTCCTCGTTTGACACGGTAAGCCCAATATCCCATTTTTCTGTAGACCGCTTCGAAATGTTGATAAATTCATGACAGAACCATACGCCTTTATCATGTATGTTCTGCTGTTCCCCCACCCACTCACACTCCGCAGTTAACGTCGCCACCGTTGCGCAGGTCCGAGCCTTACGACCCATATCTCCCCCGCAATGGATCCTCCTCAACTCCTGGCCAGGGGAATAATAAAACCGCCGCCATTCAAGCGCAGATTGACGATACTGTAGGAATTATGAGGGACAACATTACCAAGGTAGCAGAACGGGGAGAGCGGCTGGATTCACTTCAAGACAAGACAGGCGAGTATTATTTTCCCCATTGTCGAACTGGTGCTGCTCTATGCCCTGCTGGGCAGAGCATGGTTGGTTCATGTTGCAGGAATTGTATTCTACGCAAAACGTTCATGCAACTGCAAACCTGGGCCTGGGAATGTGTCATGATGGCTGCTGACTGTGGATTTTAACAGACAACCTTGCCGTATCTGCGCAGGGTTTCCGCCGAGGGGCGAACCGCGTCCGAAAGGTGAGCCTTCTAGATTTCAGAAACAAGTATTGGTGCTCAGACTAACCCTCCTATCCCTAGAATATGTGGTAAGCACACCGCCTCTCAACCAAAACTTTCCGAATGTGGATGACAACCGGTACCCCGAACACCCAGGTGGAAAGACATGAAGGTGCGTGGTTGCAACATATGAGCTTGTAGACAACTATTGACGCCTATACAGATGCGTATCATTATTGGTGTTGCGATAGCGGTCATCATCGTCATCATTGTCGTTTCCATCGTGAAAGCGACAGGACATTAACAACTTCAATACCCATAACTGAGAATAGCTGGTGTATGTCGTTTGCCTGTGCCCTGTCTTCTACCGTTCTTTTTACACATGTTGTAGTATCTATGCATACACTAGTAATTCCTTCTTCCGCCTTCCGTCCTGAGATATTTAGTAGTAGATAACACAGGGCTGATTTGGACTGCTTTCTTTTTTTACTCCTTTCCCTGTTTGTGTATAATTGATGCCGTTGGATAACCAGTGACGTGGGTTTGTCAATTACAGCTAGTCTAGCAGGTATATTATCCCCTCTCACGAATCGTGTCCAGAAATGCACAGTGAAGCGAGAAATGCATATGCTATGTATGACACGGATTTTACGCAGGAGAACATAGGTCATACAAGTCGAGGACATCCAATACCGCCACTTAATACACCGCTCATCGGCCCTTACCACCCTTCATCTGTTGCTTGGATACCTTGGGTCCAGATGGCACGGCCTGGCGAGTGGGCTAGAATCAAGGTCAACAACATGATCGGTGCTTTTACTTAAAAAAGAGCGCACCTTGGACTTCTTGGCTTCCTTCTCCTTCTTCTCGTTCTTAGCCCTGTTAATGGCGGCCAGTCGTTGCTGTTGACGAACAGCAGTAGTCTGGTTCCGCTTGGCAGCAATAGCAGCAAGATCAGCGCCGACAATCCCACGCTGGTGCTTCACGGTACGGCGAGAGCGCTTCTTGGCAACCTCCTCCGTGATACCCTTCTTGTGCATCCTACGGTAGACCTGTGTCCAGGCGATCTTGCGAGGGTTTTTGCGTTGGAGGAAAAGGGATGCATTTTTCGAGGAGGCGAAGCGGAAAACCTAAAGTCTTCACGTTTGAGATAGAACACAAATACGTGAACCAGACTGCGCACGCACCTTGCTGTCGCCGCGGACAAAGAGTTTTCCCTTGCTAGGGTAGATACGGTAACCGGAGAAGGAGTCGATCTCGAGCTTCTACACTCCGATATCCTTTCGTCAGTAAACTTGCATGGAAACATTACTGTAATGATATGACGCACCATCTGTAAATATTCAAAGCAATCCAAAAGGGAGGAAACGGAGAGAATCAGCCACTCGATTCAACCAGCAAGCATTCGTGAGCTCCAGAGTACGACATCACACCACCAGCGTCATCCGATCGTCCAGACCAACATCCAACCCAAAATTCCATCTTTCCGCATGATATGGGTATGCACGAGCTCCGAGAGACGCAGAGAATGCGATTGTGATGCTGACCTAGAGCAAAAGTGCAAGAATTTGGCCTTACCTTGAGGTGTCTTGTCGCGCGGTCGGTGGGTAACTCCCCTCAGATCCTCTATCCTCGGCCCAATTCGGCATTTGCCGAGAATGACTTGGAATTTCCTTTTTGGAATGGTCCTACATCTTTTACCAACTCCCATCCCACTCGCTCTGTAGCGTTTTATGTATTACAGCTTCGTACGCGTAGAGTGAGAGAGTCGATTGTCACTCACGCTTTGAAATTCCCGCACCCGAACACCTATTGGACCCATTGGTTGGAAGGCCAGCGGGATGAGCAATCTCCTCATTGTGCCACTGCTTTTCTTTAGTATCAATATTGTCATATGGCACATCAAAACCCTCAGCTTAAGCCCAGTACATAAACTCTACTGCAGTACGCAGACAGAATACTCTTCTGCACTTACCTGTTCCCCAGCGCCTGATGATTGATCGTATGTCATTACATCTATTCTAGCAGCATCGGGTCGATGGCGTAGTTGGTTATCGCATCTGTCTAACACCTTCTCCAGTGAAGTACTGGATGGTTCACAGAAGGTCCTCAGTTCGATCCTGGGTCGACTCATGTTTTTGTAGCAACGATGCTTTCGCATTTCTCTTTTATCCCTGAATAAACATGATACTTTCGAATCCGATGGAGCACAGGAGGCACAGCTACGCGACTCTGTTAAAGATCACAAGTCAACCGTCCATATGACGTCCGCGGTATTTTCAGAAATCCGGGCCTCAGGTACTGTCCGAGGACCATAACGGCAATAAACGCGTCCCCTTCCGGACCCTAATTCCAACAGCAGGATTGACCATAGAAAGAAATGGCGAATTTCTCGGAAAATAAACACCACCAACCTAATCGGAATCGGATATGGTCGCGAAAGAAGCTAATAACCCAACACCAGGCTCAAACCCTCAGTCCTGTGCCGGCACCAGTAACGAGGGTGCACTTGATAAGAACCGTTGTAAACTAGTGGGAAGCGACCATCCGGCCTCCCGCTGGGAAGTCTGAAAGGGACCAGGGTTCGAGCACATGAACGATTACGAAGAGTAAGATAATTTTTTCTGTCACAACGGCATGGAGTACATATAATTTGTTGTTCCCTCGTACCGCTCCGCGCCAAAAGGAGATGCTTGGCAGGGGGACCGCATGCAGGGTCTATTCGCGAACGAATGACCCCCATAATCGGTGAGAGAGAGATATCCAGGAATGAATTCGATGGTGTGAGAGGCGGTTTGCTGCGAAATATCCACCATATGCTGTTTTGGAGCGGCCCCATAGCGCCCAAGGGTCTTACTTTGGTTTCCACAGCCTCGGAAACAGCGCCAGAAACTGGAGCTCTACGCAGCATTGGGCGCCATCCAAAAATATGGGGGATGGGCGAACAGGTGAACACTTGCGCAGCTTGCTCCCGGAAATTCTCCGGGGCTGCCTGGAATTTTTTTGGGAAACTTATATCCAACTAATATCACCAAACTCTAAAGTATCAATAAACCATGCAAACCAGTCGTAGGGGATAGACTACCCAGCAGCTCTCGGTTGGAAAGCGGATGTGATGGGGCGTACTCCTTGAAGTTGCTTCTGTACCTGGCGGTGCGGAACTCGAAGGGGACTGTCCTTCCCATGAAGATTCGAAAGTCCTTCGAGATCCTCATCCAGCGCCCACGTGCATGTTTGTCTTGTGCGCAACTTGACGGGTTTCCACCCCCGATTCGTATGCGAAGAGTGAAATCAGCGCGAAACACTTTTCATCACGGTCTACTCGAAAATGGAGATACAGCGAGGCTGAAAGTTTTCCATAAACGAGAGTGTACATTGAGCCACCAACTCTAATAGAAGATCGATGCAAATTGTCTAAGGCCTAACTCGGGGGTGGTCAGATAATCTAAGATACTGGAGTCGCAAGAATAGTAGAAGCTTGTAGAATCCCACCGCGCCGGATGACTTACATCATGAGGCCTCATCATATCAAGAAACATCATTTACTTCTCAGCTCTTTTAAGGCACTGGTGTTTTGTAGACGCCCTGAGAACCTCGGGATTTGCCTTTCATCCATAATATCATAGCTTCTACTTCTGCCGATGCACGCCTATTGCCACAGACCTCGAAAAGTGTCATCAAGTAGGTGCCCGTGCAGCCCGTGCAGCCCGCACTTGTTCCACGGTGGAGTCGCTGAGAACATGATTGATAAATAGAACTGACCTACAGGGGTTGTTGATGTACTTCGGGGTCGGCTCCGGTGCCAAGGAAAGCCCTTCACGGTCCGTCGTACAGGTGGGCAATATACACACCGCAGGGTGATAAATTCGGTATAAGCAACGACAGAAAACGAAAGTTAATAAAAATAGGTCGTGAAAGCTCGTAAACGTACACACAATTACCAGGGAAATGCATATGACTGAGAAACATCAAGGAAAAAACACTATCGCACGGTGATAAAAATACAATATCAATCAATAACCTTCACCTTCCTCTTCCTTCACACTGCCGGCCAATCCAGCACCCCAACGAGCACTTCCGATCCCCACGTTCTTGCCCGTTTCCGTCGTATCTGTACTGGACCGGGGCTTGAAGCTTTCACGCTTTGCTCGGGATGCTTTCCTCAACATAGAGAAGCCGGCCCCTGGTATGCTCTTGCTGGACTTTTGGAACTTGCTATGTACTCTGGCAGAGCTGACCTTGACACCAGCAGACGCGCTGCGCATTCCGGATGAACGGGCCATGGTACCAGGCACTCTACCGTATCCCAGGGCGTGATATTGTGTCCCTGGTTTGGGTATAGCGAGCGTAGTGGGCCTAGGCACGGAAGAGATGGTACCGGGGGTTTTCACTGGAACCTTAGTTGGTGAACCGGGTCTAGCCTGTGTATTATTGCCCCTATGATTACCGAGTGGCGCTCGCCCAGTCCTATGACCGCTTACGGTCGAATCGTTGAGCTTTTGGCGTTTGTTGGGAAGAGAGTGCGAGGAGATAGTCGAGCTCGATCTTACGGCGGGTGTTACGGCCCCAGCTCTTGTGCCCGGTACGTAACTATTGGTGGAGTTTACGGGTGTAGTTGCACGGGGTGGTACGGAGCCCGCTCGGGGGGGTCTGCGTTTGTTCTCCTGATCTGCTGCAGCGACAGTTTCCGTAAGCATTTGCAAGAAGCTTTCGCCATGCACTAGGAACGGTCGGCTTGTGTCTTGTTCCCACGCAGGTATTGATACGAGGAGATCCTGTTCCAACTGAGCGGATTGCCTATTAGTAAACTTGCCAAACATAATGATGCTTTACTGAAAATACCTACACGCGGTTTCTCTTTCGAAACTCTCTTCCGCATCTTCTCCTCCCGCAGCAAACGACCAGGATCTCTCGGTCCGCGTCCTAGTAGACGGGTCTGGTCAGCGGCCGCAAGAGCAAGCTCTTTTTCCTCCTCGCAGATATCAAAATATTTCCGGACACTCGCTAACAGCGGTGCCTTCAATCTACGTTCCTCCTTTAATCTCCTAACCTCATCTTCGTGGATGGTCAGCAGTTCTTCTGTGTTCTCATCTATTAAAGGGGTTGGGTGACGTCCATCAGTAGGGTTTTCTAGACGCACCATCGACAAACGGAGCGAAATCTGCTCTTTCATCACCTCCCACCATCAAGTCATCCCATAACTTGACAATTTCTTGTCTTGCGCTTTCAATGAATGTGCCCATCCGGTCTCGTTTAAGCTCTAGCATGCGCTCCAGTTCTTCTTCGTATTCTCGGACCGTGTCCTCTGTGCTTCCACGGTGGTTCTCGACAAACGCGTCCATGTCTGCTTCCCCCACACCCAAACGCCGCCAGAGACCTTCTAGTTGATCATACATACCCTGGATATGTGCCTCTCGCCTCCTTTTGAGATCTTCAAGAGACCCTTGCAGTCCCTTTGCCCATGATAATAATCCAGGTGCCGGATCAACGCTTTCCAAACCATAGGGAACACCCTGGTTGTCAGTCAAAGCCTCGTCATCTGCCTCTTCTATTCGTGCGACAAATCGTGCAAATGTTCGTTGGTATTCGACCTCTAAAGATGCCGCCTGCTCATCCCGAAGAAAATTAGTTGAGGAACCCGATCGGGATGATGGTGTGGGTGTAGAAAGGAAAGGATCAGAGGTTGGAGTGGTAGAGGTGGAAGCGGAGCGTGAACTCAGATCGTCAAGGGTCGGTGCTGAAATTCCGAGCTCTGAATAGAGCCAATCAATCTGAACGAATAGTCCAGAGAGTTGGGATAGGCGTTTACCCTAAATACTTTTTAGTTGAAACCAATTTCTTGTCATCATTCAAGGACCTACCACTTCAGCCTTTCCTCGTACAAGTTCTTTCTCTAATTTCAAAAAGCGCTCTGGTGAAACATCTCGATGTGATTCGGGATCGAGGACGTTCTCCCCATCAGCAGCGGATGGCTCTCGCACATCCGGACCGAAGAAAGTGCTTCCGAGCGTCCGTGCTAATGAATTAATTCGGTTCGTGATTGTCGTCAATTGTTCGAGTTTCGAGTGGTAGAGCTGGGATACAGTTTATGAGATACTGATTAATTGTAGGAATACCAAGACTGACTTGTCGTAATTTCTCTTGATGTTCTGCTACAAGATCGTATCGCCGTGGAAGCACAGCTTCCTTCCGAAGTTCCCCAACGCTATTGCCTGTTGATTTGATGTTTCCTCCGAGAGCCTTGGAATATCGAATGCATTCCTTCTCAACCACATCGCATCTAGACATCCATTCTTCCACCTCCTTTCGTCTTGTCTCCACCTGCTTCTCGACCCCTTTCACAAGTTCTTCCTGCAGTGCCTCCAGATCATCTTCGAGTGCGCTTGGTGGTAGTCCCAGTTGTGAATGTAGTGTTGGTAAAAGCTGTGTTTGCGTTTGTAGGTGCGTATGTAGTGAGTTGAGGAGAGCTGTGAGAGAAGATGTCGTTGCATGTGCCGACATCCTTGCGATTTCTGCCTGCAGCAAGCAGGGATTACAGGTTATTGTAGTCAGTTGAATAGGGATTCCGCTAAAGTTGGGCGCGAATTCAACCCGACCGCACGTGACCGCGTCGCGACGGGTCACGGGGCAGTCATCAGAGCCCAATTTCAATTTGATGTTGAATAACACGAGCATCGAGTAGCGAATATATTTCACAACTAAAAATACAAGTCATGAATGGTCGTAAATATCAGTATAATGCACGATGCATCATTGGCGAGAGATATCTCTGTCTATATAAATTGTCGTCCTTCGGGTTTCATGTTCCAGTAATTCCCGCATTGTGCCAAGATTTCCCCATTTTGTCCACCAGTCCTCTACCTGCTCACTTGCATCATATAGCCACATCTTGAGCGTATCATTCCAAAGACGTGAGAGGTGGTCATCGTCGGTATCCGATTGAGCTGGGACATGTTCTTTTGCCGACGTGCGCAAAAAGTCGTCGAACTGATCTCGTAGAGGTCCTTTGGGCAACATTATCGAGTCCCGCAGCGATAGGTCTATCTTGACTCCAAACGCGATACGTGGCCCTCTTATTTCGTCGTAGGCCATGAGGAGTCGTGAAATATTATGGCGAGACTGGACACTAGAAA